CACACACACACACACACACATCAACTATAATCTCTCATTTGATTAAGTTTTTCATCTTCACTTTCTCTTTTCTCATTTTTTTTCTTCAAAATTAATTGTTTACATTGTAGTTGAATTATTTTATTATCGAAAGAGAGAGAGAGAGAGAGAGAGAGAGAGAGAGAGAATTAAATTGTTTTGCAAAAAATTCTTAGCACGACAATTAAGTTATAATACATTTTTAGAAATTTTTAAAAGCTTTAATAAATTGTTAGAAATATATTAATATAATACGTAAAAAGAAATATCTAAGATATAATTTATAACTATAATCTCCCACTTCAATTTACTCTTTTATTTTTATTTTTTCTTCATTTTTTCTTCATAAAATTAAGTTGTTATTGTTTATTGCAATTATTATTTATTTATTTTTAATTTAAAAGCAAGATGATTAAGTTATGAATTCTTAAGAAAGGGATCTATTTTACAGAGAAAATGATTTTCATATAGTTATAGTAATAGTTGATATTTCATGGCCAATGCGAATTTTGGAATTTTGCCTGTGAAAATCTGAGACCAGCGTCCCCATTTGCGGTGTTCTTAAAAGAGAAAGGTCGCTCCCAATTGATTTGCACTATAATAAGGATAACGTGTTCTTCTCGGTCACCCTGTATCGATGTCGATCGCCAAATATCCTGTATAATGCGACACACATTGGACACTGCGAGCGCCTTGATTATTTCGTGAAAGATGAAAGGATACCGACCTTCGGTCAGGCAAATAATCGTTATCTACCTACTATGAATAGCTTTTTACTGCCGTTTACGGGTGCCCGGATCGACACATATATATAATCGTGTTCATGCCTACTGCTACAAGTGCGGTCGACGATGACGCTGTAAAGGGTAGCTCCTGCTGCTCCGCTATTTATGTTACCTCACCCACGTTAATTTTTTTCTATTCACCCTCATTGTTAGACAGCGTCGTCTTTTCAGAAGAAATGTTGTCTACGCGCTATTGGCAATTCGTATCGCGTAAGATAGTGGCAAGCGGTCTCATCATTATATTAAATTGAATTCTCTTAATATTTGCAATATATTATTATCACGTCCCTCTTTCTTTCCTTTTTCTGAGCATTTTCCAACAAAAATATTTGAACATTACATAAATAACAATAAATCATTATATATATTCTTATTGTTCGTTAAACACATACAGATAAAATAATTTTATCATGTTAGACTAATATTACATTTTTATCCATTTTTGTCATACGACAAATTTTTCAAGCCTAGGCTAAAGAGATTCTTAGATTTTTCTGTCTTGTAGCCACTCAACAAGCTCGAAATCTTTGTCGTACGAAACATGAAATATTAGACTTAAATTGCGAGAGCTTTCCAACAAATGACACAGAGATCATTTCACCTTTATTTTACAACCTTTCTTACGACGAACAACAAGGATATAATGGTTTATTGCGTTACACTGTGTCATCTGTGTCTTTTGTTAAATAAAAAAATTCCTTGTGTCTCTTATTATTAGAAAACATTCTTTATTTGAAAGTTTTTAGCTGTTATTATTGCATTACAAAAATATTCGCGATATGGTAATAAATCGCATTTGGCTTTTGATGCTGAATTATCTTTAGGTGATTAATATCGCCGCATTTTGTATATTCTTTTTTTTATAAATTGACTAATTGATTATGCTGTTAATTTGCAGAGGATACGAGGATGAGTGCAAACGCATGGTTATGCCAACCAAACTCTCCATTGTTACACGGTGTCACTGCGGAATTAACTAATAGAAGTCTTTGGCAACAATTTCACGAGTGCAACACGGAAATGATAATAACGAAGTCTGGTCGGTGAGTGCCTTATTTTATTGCTATTTCTTTCTTTTTCAAAGCAGATAATGTCAAAGTTTCATTTAATGTCTATTTCTTATATTTTTTTATATTATTTGAAAAATTAAATTCTTCGCTAAAAATAAATAATATAACAATTAAAAAATAATTCTAACTTTAAACGTCGCAAATTAAATCGAACGATAAAATAACATGATGACAAATTGCGGCGCGAAATCATAACAATCTCTAAAATTCTTGTTCCTTCAGTCCACGGGGGGGGGGGGAGGGGGCAAAACAAAGAAAACTCGAAATTCAATATAATATATAGATCTAAATAAATCGTCAATAAAATTGTAATTGAAGATATGAAAATTCAGTCATAATAATAATTATTCATATTGCCGCGCGTTTGAGTGGTATAACGCGTCTGAGTGGTAGGGATCCTGGCGCCCGTGTCTTCACTTGAAGATAAGCTAGACGAGATATTTTCTTTTTCTCTTCTTTTCTCGGCGCCTATGAAAAGTGCACCGAAGAGATGCCGACCATTCCCCCACTATGCAACTGGAGGCCCAGTCAGGTCTGTCAGGCGCCACGTCGGCGTTTTCGAAGCTATCGTGGTGCGATACCCTTACGAAATGGATTTCGCAAAAAAAAAAAAATACGAGAGCACTATCCCTTATCGCAGATTTGCGACGGCCAAGGATATATGAGGGAAAACGATCTAAAATTCTTTCCGGATAAAATTTCTATAGAATTCGTTGCGTACCTTTTATTTCAAGAAAAAGTTATTTTCTTTTCATTTTCTTTTTGAAAATTTTTACGCAAAAATTTACATTTTTACACAGTCACCGAGCTTAACTTTCTATATTATAGTCCTTATGCTATATCTTTTTTTTTTTTGCCTGACATAGAAACCATTAATCGTGTTTAACGAGCTGTCGAATCATTTTCCATTATAATATAGCATTTAACGCAGGTATTCCGACACATTAAGTTCTGCACAATGGAAGTTAAGTGGTTCTATGTGATTCTTACATGCTTTTTCATTTTCATTCATCAAATTCTTGAAAGTTAAATCCTAAAGAATTTCATAAATTGCATTTCGTCCTTAGAGTAATAAATTACACTCTTCCCGAAAATTTAGCCTTTAGAAAGGGTAAAATGTCTGGAAAAAAAAAAAACATATTGTAAAAATGAAAGTAAAATAGTGATTTCTGTTCTAATTTTGTTTTTATTATATTAGTAAAATAAATTAATATATTTATTTTTTTATAATAATTAATTAATCTATTAAAAAAGATAAACAAAGTAAACTATTAGTATAATATTTAACTTAAGATTGAAATAATATTTTGCGATTACTAACAATAAGATGATTTATTAAGAATCGTAAAAAATATAAAATTTTTAGAATATTTCAAATTAAATTTGATTCTTAAATAAATCAACACTTTTTATTTGCAACTATTTATTACTTTACTGCTTGATTGTGATTGATCGATTTATGTTTTTATACAAACGTTACAACGTCTTGTTCTTTTTCAAATTTGATATTAAATCTCGTCGGAAATGATTTAGCAATATATTTTTCTGAACATTACAATATTCCAAAACCTTTTTCATCTAACGGGATTCGTTCTCGCCTAAGGAATTGATATCGTAGATATTTAGATATTATCTCAGAATCATTCTTCTCCTTTCTAAATTTAGTCTGACACATTATCTGTAATTTTCTTGATGACATGTGCGATAGCATCGTTTTCTTAAGTAGACAGTAGATATTCCGAAGTGAAAACAATGCGATTAATCTCGTGGAGTGCCGCAAGGTTGATGCATCATAGCTTTACGATGTGTCTCGTTCGTTTCAATCAATAGGCGTTATAACAGTTAGAAATGCATTTTTCGTTTCTTTTAACGTCGTCATTTTAATGTATTATAATATTCGTCAGAAGAACGTCGCTTTGTCGCATCCCGTTTTTTTATCGATATTCTTCCGGAAACTATCGAATAATTTCTTCTCAGACTCGAGGTGGTAAATAGTTGTGATAAAACGTACGTAGAATTTTGCGTGGTTTTAAGATAATGCGAACGGGCATGATATCATGCACCATGCTTTCATGTTATATCGGCATCGCGTGGGCGTAAAAACCGGAAGGAAGGAAGGAAGAGCGATCACGGAGAGATTTGTAGCCGCTTATGAACATTCGTAACTCTCGAAGCTATTTACGATTAGTCACACGACTTTCACACAACAAAGCGCTGACATTTGTGAAAATTCTTCAATTACTCTTCCTTAGACACGTGGCACGATGCAGTAAATAATATCGATTGTTTTTCGAATTATACATTTGTAGTTATATCCTAGGAATAGATTGTTGGAAAAATATATTGTAGAGAAATTTCTTCTATTATAATATAATAAAAATTATAATATAATACAATAGATTTATAAAAGGATCATCGATACTAAGATTTTACAATATACGAAGTTAATGATTTTTTAGAATTAAGAATCATTTACATTATGTAGTTTATTTAGTTTATGATATTTCAGTATATACAATTTATTAAAACAAAGTATTTTTTACTTTTTTTTGTTTTTTAACTTATTTTATTTTTTTAATATTTTTGCGCGATATTTTTTTTTTGTATTTTCTTGTACATCTGTTCCCAATAAAAATGATCGTTGCGTGTTATTTCGAGGAATCACATTTTCTAAAAAATCGCATTTCCTGGCGTTTCTTTTGCGGAAAACAGTTTACTTTGGTAAGGTTATACGTGAATATCTTATTACGTGACTTTGGACCACCTAAAGTCTCTGCTGGTCAACACAACCATCGATCGTGATTTTAACGAGCTGACGGATCACAAGCGCATGATCGGCGTGAACAAAAAAATTTTGAGACACATGTTTATCTTCACCAGGGCGGTCTAGCTGCGACAATAACGACAAAGGTGTCTGTCTCTTCGTACGTGTCTCTTCCGGCGTGTCGCTATTCGTAGTTCACCACATGCCCACCATGTGCTTCTCTTTTCTCTTCCTCTCTCGATCTTGCGAATTTCATAATCATACATTTATATTCTATAGCACGATATTTATTTACATGCACAGCTTCCGCGTTGGAATATATATTAACTTCTTTCTTCTTTTTAAGTACCATTTTAGCTTCTGTACGACATAATCTATTTTCATTGATCTTTAGTCAGCTTAACAATGAATATAATAATAAAGTAGAATTGAAGTAGAATGAAAAATGTGTAACAAAAGTGGCAATTGACAAGTAGGTCTTTTTTGACTGCGCGAAAAAAACCTGATTAAAGAAAATCCGTCGAAAATAAATGATATTTTCTGACACTGGGTTTCCTCCGAGGAATTTATTTGGTTTCGACTTAAAAAAAAACTATCCTATTGTGCGCGTGTATTTCTTGAACCTTTCTCGGAAATCTTTTTCTATTGACAAACACAGTCTCTCTTTCTTTCAGGAAATTATTTTAAATTGTCATAAACTAAAAATGTTATAAAAATTGTTATAAAAAATATTATATAAAATGTTATAAAAATTGTTCATTGAAGAAAAAACAAAAGATTTCTTTTAAAATATTACAAAAAATTTATAATCCTTGAATTTTTTCAAAAATCTTTTTTTTTTTAAGAAATGCAGTTTATTTTTCTTCTAAAAAATTTTAAATTGTCATAAATTAAAGAAACATTAAAAATCACGGATTGTTTAGACAAAAAATAGAAGTTTTTTTTTATAAGTAATATGAAAACCTTTTTGTCATTTTTATATCTCTTTCAGAAATCTTTCTTATGTGAGTTAAAAAAAGAAGTCTTTCCTTCTTTTAGGAAATTATTTTCAATTGTCATCAATTAAAGAAACATTAAAAATTATTGATTGTTCATTGAAGAAAAAAAAAGAAGTAATCTTACAAAAATAGCATGGATTTAGATAAACTTTAAAACAAGAAATATGTTAAAAAAGAAATATGATAAATAATAAATTCAATGAAATATGAAAAATCGAGAAAGGAAGTACATCATGTTTTGATCAAGCCAAACTTTCGTCAGACTTACCTTGAAGATATATATATATACGTAGATGTGTTTTTATGTATTTATTGTTTTTATCATATCGAGGATACATATCGGAATTCGAACAGACGCGTGTACAAGGAGATAGTTCACAACTTTCGAGTGATACTATACAATATAATCGACGGAATGTAACGCGTGCCAGAGCTCGTGCTATAAGACACAGGGTTATATCATCACAGACACATCATTACAGACATTATCTTGCTGTTGCGTAATCGTAAAAAGTTCTTTAAACCAGACGATTTGTCGCACGAGCACCCAATAATCGTCGCCTACCCCAATGGTACTAAAGTCACTCTAATACGAACGATCTGATCAAAATGATGTTTTCACCGCTTTATCGACTCTTTTTAAAATTCATAAAGAACTCTAGAACTCTTTGGGAGGACAATCAGAACTTTACTTATTTTTTTATAAATTTTTAAAAAATGGAGCCAGTTTCGCAGAGGTATCAACATTTTTTATTTACTAAAAGAATCAAACGAATTATTATGAAAATAAAGAGAGTGATAGGAAATTAAATATTTTATCAGAATATAAATTATGAAAAAAAAATTTCAGAATTTTATCTCTTACACAAGAAATATAAATCTATTAATCTAATTAAAAAGTGGAAATAGGGTCAATAATGACCGCTCGGTATTTCTATAAGTGAAATTTTTTCACGGCTTTAAGCAAATAAAATTACAATTGCATTCAACAATTTAAAAAACATAATAAATACTATAAGATTATATGTAATTTGTTTTGTTATTAGACAAAAATTGGCTTATTTATCATTCTTTTATTCTTTTCATTCACAACCGCGATTATATTATTGCGATCAAATCTTGAATAATAATAATAAGAGAGAAAAGAATTATTTAACGTAAAAAACGAGATTTTGGGTCATAATAGTTAATAGAAAACGAATCTCTTACAACGGTTCAAGAGAATGAGGAAAGATAATATGTTCGATAATTTATAACGACATATAGAAATGTTTTGCTTCATTATTGAAACGTACTGGATTCCACCATCTTTTAAAGAAAAGTCTCGAAGCTTGCCATTTTTATACCTGCTAATATATTGACAATGAGAAAACCGGGCTGAGACCAGACATGTAAAGGCCAAGGTCCTTTGTCAGTCTACCGACTTGATACGAAGGCAAACGCTAAATGTGCCGCTAGAGGAAAACCACAATTAGGCAAGCAAACGGGACTGCGACTCGATTTGACCTACCGTAGAAATATTTGCGCAGTTGGAAAAACTAGTTGACGAGGGTGAGAATATAGTCCCGTAAATATAAGTCCCGCGTAGTAACAGGAGCAGACTTAACGCGTCCTTTCGGCGACGCCCACTCGTCGCCAGCACGTTAATGATTAACGAAACCTTCGACGGTCTTTGTTCTTCGAGAGAATGCGAATACTACCTGCACGAAATGAGACCTTTTTTTCAATAGCGTCAAAAGTCTTCGAAGTAAAAGTTATCTAGAAAATGCCTATGAGTCATTTCCGACACTTTATGTCATTGATAGGTAACACTATTTTACAGCTAAAAATGATTTTGAACCTGGAAAGTATTTTTTACAGATTTTTGAATCCTGCAAATGACGTTGCAAATTTTATTAGCAGATTTAAGAAAAAATTAAATTTTATGCATTAAAAATGGCTTCTCTGTAATATATTTTGAATTTTTTTTATAAACAAAGGTTTAACATTATATTGAATTCTGATTAGAGAAACCATAAATTTATTCATTTATTTTAAGATAAAGTAAAGTCATTGAAGCTTATTTCTTTTTTTAAAAAAGCAAAACTATCTTATTAACTTCAACCAGGGGAATGTTCACTAATTTGTGACATTATATAGTTTATAATAGCTAGTTTATAATAGTAATTCTCAGCTGTTCTTTTCTTTAGTTTCGTATTGTGGGAAGGAAAGAAAAACTGCAGGGATTAAATTACAGTGCGGGTCTAGTATTGTAGTGTTGTGTTTTAGTCTAGATTGTGTGTGTGTGTGTGTGTGTGTGTGTGTGTGTGTGTGTGTGTGTGTGTGTGTAGTGTTGCGTTTTAGGGGCTGATTTGCAATAATTCCACAGACAGCCGAGATCGATTTTTATATCGAACGCATTTTATAGCTAAAGAAAAATATTGTCTTCTTTTTTTAATTTCCTTATTATCTACGAAAAGAATTAGAAATATTACGAAGAATTCTCTCCTAATGAGGAATTATATTATTTTCGCTATATTTTTGCAAGTACTCGAAACTTTATGGTTTAGGAAAATTTTGAAATTTGATGCTCATTGGCTCAATATTATTGTCATCCAACAAATTATTTATGGGACATTTCTTTTTTTTTACAGACGCATGTTTCCGTACTTGCAAACAAATATAAACGGTTTACAAAAGCGTGAAATTTATCACGTCTTCTTGGAGATAGTACCAGCCTCCAATCAACGGCATAAGTACAGCGGATACGAAAACGGGAATAAGAATGGCAATATGAGTGGCTGGAGCACCGCGGGACCGGCAGATCCACAGCATCCCTTAAACCGTAGACTTTATCAGCATCCCGACAGTCCCGCAACTGGAGAGCACTGGATGGAGAATTCGATCAACTTTATTAAATTAAAACTAACAAACAACGTCAATGATAAGAATAACGTAAGTATAATATACACTAATGCCTAAATTCTAAGTAGAATCATAAGGCTCGTAAGACTTGTAAACATTTTTAAGTGCTTGTACCTTTATATAATGTTTTTACAGACAGATACTAGTCATAAAATTTACAAGAAATCGTAGATATTTACGAATAATCGTACGTCTTACGATACGCATAAAATTAGAATATTAGTCATAAGTTCTTACAAAAGTTTTGCGAGAACACGTTACGAGTCTTACGATTGTGTTTAGAATTGATGCATAAGTTATTGTATTTATTGTAATTAGTATGCAATATACAGCTACTTCAATAAAAGCTATCATTTGAAGTGACAATCGTTATTTATTAATTTTATCAAAAATAATATTTTATATGAAATACATTGTTTGATGGAATTCGTCGAATAGATGCATTTAGATTTTTTATATCTATTTTTTATATCATCTGGATTTTTTATTTAATTTTTCTAATATATCAAGGTAATCTTTGTCTTTTTAAATCTTTTTTTTTAATCGTTCTTTAATTAAACATATAGTCTGTTTCGAGACAAATTTATTAACTTAAAATGTTGATCTTTCGAGATCATTCAAAGTCATTTACAATCGTTTGAAATCTTACTTTTTATCAATGAAACCTTCAAACCTCTTCAAACCTTTTGAAAGACATTTCATCCACCACCAAAGTATGGATTCCAGCATAATCTCGCAAACACAATAGAGTAGTAAGTCTTAAGTTTTAAGAAATTGATCAATAATAGTCGAATGAGAAGAATAATTGACTATGATCGGTCAATTCTTTAAGATTTAAGACTTACTACTCTATTGTGTTTGCAAGGTAAATAAAACTCCTCCTCAGAATGACCGCCGAGTTTGAGAAACACTCAATGTGTTTTGTGGTCGTTAAATAGGAAAAAGTAAGACATCCTATACTTCTCACTAAGACTTCTGGATTTGATGTCTGCAGACTATTTTCTTTTCTTATGAAGACTTTGAAAGATAAAGTATATTGATAAAAATATTTCTCAAATTCACAAAAGTCATTTTGAGAAGGAGTATCATCGTGTTATCGCGCGCTTATACTCTGAGGCGAGCGGAACATTTTTCAAATTATTTTGAAATTTATTAATAAAAAAATAAAAGATTTTAAACAATTATAATTGGCCTTGAAAAATATTAAACTAAAATCGATAAACTCGTCACGAAATAGATTACACGCCTATCTAACAAAAAGGATACTGTTCTACTTAAAAGAAACAAAGATTATTCTGGTACGTCAGAAAATTTAAGACATAAAAAGATTTTAATGCATCCATTCGAAGGGTGCCATCAAATGCAATGTATTTCATAAAATGTTTTTTTAATAAAATCAATAAGAAATAAGTTATTTCAGATGACAGTTTTTGTTGAATCATCCTGTGTATGCTAAGTTTGAAAGTAAATACGAAAACATATGTCTAATTATAAGTTTGGATTTTATATAACAGTATATAAAAGAACAAAGGATAAAATAAATTATTTGTTAATTAAAAAGAAATATGTATATGTAATACATATATACATATATATAAAATATATACATTTTTTAATTAACAAATATTTTAATTAACAAATTATTTTACTTTTTTGATAAACATTTTTTTAATATATTGTAACACAGATAATTATTCAGTTGATAATTATATTTGCTACACAATTATAACATCTCGTAAAACAATACACGAAAGATAATAGAGAACTACGTATTGTAAACGAAGGATAAGACAATCCCTTAGAGGAAATGGAAAAAAAATTTAGTGGCCGCTTACTTATTTATCTGGTTCTTCCATGTTTTGACAGCTTTAAAATGTTTTTAAAAATCCTTTCTTTTCAACTCCCATCTCCGCTGTTCGGTTTCGTGTTTCTTTTCCCATTTGTAATACATGGAGAAATATCGTTTATCTCGTTAGCTCGTTTATCTCATTCAATTTCGATTCGTTTTTTTTTAAGTATCAACTCAGTTACGCATTTTCACCAATTAAAGTTAATCTACACGTTGATGGGCATTGATAATAATTTGTAAGGCACTACAATATTTCCTATTTCCTTTTTACTTTTTCCTCCTCTCTATTTTTTTCTATTTTCTATATATATATCTTTAGATAATAAGTACATTATAATAATTAGGTAATAGACAGAAAAGTGATACAGTAATCTATGTCTTTTATGGTATAACTGTGATATAAAAACATACTTACAATTAGTTTTTCCCAACATTAAAAAAGTGATGACTTTCTCTCTCTCTCTCTCTCTCTCTCTCTCTCTCTCTCTCTCTCTCTCTTTCTCTCTCTCTCTACTCGATAAACAAGTTTAAATTTATCAAAAAATATATAGCTATACGTATTGATTTGGTATACGTAAGAATATTTTTGAAGGCTTCTAATATTTTTATGGATATTCTAGCTATTCTCTCACGAAATTCGCTTGAAAGCGAAAGCGTCTTGTGGTTGAGGATTAAAGAAATTTCTGAGAAAAAAAAGATCGGTGATGCATTTTCCGGGGGAGACTTAAGCTACTCAAGACGGTGCGGCACACCGATTCAGCGTCTATGAGGAACGCAGATTAACACGCTCCACAACACCCTGTAATCGATATACCTCCCTTTCCTGCTGGGGCTGAACGAGAGTGAGTTTGTTTACGAGCCGACGGAGTTCCTAGTTGCCGCCATCGCCGTTGGTGTTAAGAACGCCATTTTTTCTTCTGCCTTTGTTGATGGCAAAAAGGAACCGCACGAGAAATAAGAGCACGGCGGCACTTTTGCTCCTCGTTATTGTCCATTAGTGTTGATTCATGCATGAAAAGCATTACGATAATCCATAAAGGTCCGCGGCTAGAAAGCGGCGACAAACAAGAGATTCGCATTGTTGCGCGTTTATCAATTTCGTCACCTTTCCCTTCAACTAGGAAACAAGCGAGATCAGTTCCGAGATTTAAGAAGATCTATTTAATTTCTATGATTTATCTACTCTAAAGCATCTAATCAGAAGAGATTATGAAGGTAATCAGAAAAGATTATTAGAAGAATTATTAGAAAAATGATTGCATTTGAAAAAAAAACTGTCATGATTTTTTATTAAAAGCGATTTTGAATTGCAGAATTTTAGCGAAAAATTTTCACTAATCTCTGCTTTAGCGCGGGAGTTAACATAACTTTCTTTCTTTTTAGCTCATTTCAAACAGGATTTATTTTATATCTATCGAAAATTAAAAAAATAATTAAGAAATTAATATTTTTATTAAATATTCAGCAAGTAGAGATTACTGAATAGAATTCTGTTCTCACTAGAATTTTTTTCTAAAATTTTTATCTAAAATATATTATACAATCAGAAGAAAAATAAATGAAGTTGAGATCTTTACTGTAAAACTTATTAAGTACTCTTATTCTTTTGTTATATGTCTTTAATGTTACGCCTCTATTTTGACATAATGAAACTTTATGTAAAATATAAATATTTCGCTTGAAATCGACTGTAATGACTACCAGATCACGTATTGAAGTGATGCATTTTGCTCTTGATTCATACGAGAGATTCTTGGTGGCGCGGAGACATGATTCCAAGAAGGTTGCAGGGCTTAGTCTGGTTTTCGGGAATCGCGTCTGTGTCTACCGTCGGCCTCTTTAGTGAGGCGCCAACTTATCTCGAAAAAGCGGCGCCCCTTTTACCCGGTTCCTCAAACTAATTACGAATTTAATAAAATTCCCGGCGCTTCGTTCCGCCCCTTCTCTCCCATCCACAACTAACAGAAAGACTCTCTTCTTTCGTACTTTTCTTCCTTCTCTCCTGCGGGATCGTCTTTCGCGATGCAGATACTGTGTAACAGTATCTTTTTTTCATATTTAACACTCAAAAATAAAAATTCTTAATGAGTAAAATTATATAATATGATATATATCATGGCTTTCATGTATATTCTCGTGTAGTTTTTTATAGTTTTTAATTAATGAAAAATCGCATCGTTCAAACAAAACATACGTGAAAAAAATATCTTATCAAATATTGATTATTAATAGTTCAATAACAGTTCAATAATTAATTTAATAATGATTTAATGAACTTCTAAAATTGCTAATTTTAATTTTAACGATGTATAAGAAAATCGCTTTTTAATTATCTGTATATTAATTAGTTATTTTAATTATCTATTATTTTTTAAAAATTATAATAGTTTAAGAAAAAAATTCTTACAGGTAATATTAACATCAATGCATAAGTACGTTCCTAAACTTTGGATAATCCGTTGCACCAATGCGTCGAGTTATAATGAGCTTTTTTCTCATCCAGCCGCGTCGTTCATTTTCAACGAGGCAGAATTTATTGCTGTAACAGCATATCAAGTAAGTGTTATAACATAAAATCTAAAAGCGAAATTCGTTATTATTTTTTTGAAATAATTACATTTTAATAACTGTATAATTTAATTTTTTGTGATCATATCGAGAAAGAAACGCTGAAATGCGTTGCAGTAGCTTAACGTAATTCTTCAAGCATTTGAATCTGTATAATTATAATTGATTAAATTTTTTTGAGATTTTATAAATTTTTCTAAGTAATAAAAATTTTTTGATTCACATATTAAGCCTTTTAGAATTAAAGATAAAATACTTTATCTTCGTTCATTTGCAAGAAATAGATGAACCATAGAAGTTCGACCGTGAAGAATTAAGACTAAAAAGTTACATATTTTAATTATAATTACATATCTTAATTATTATACATATTACATATCTTAATTATTATACTTATTTTTTTCTTTCTTTATCAATTATTATTATACATTTTATTACTTTTTTACACATCTGAAAATTGTCTTTTTCAAAACGTAGCCTATCTAACCATAATATATATTTCTTTGTGTGTCCAATTGCGTCTAATAGTATCTTTTTGCAGAATGAAAACATCACGAAATTGAAGATCAATAATAATCCATTCGCAAAAGGTTTTCGCGAAACGGGACAGTCACGATACAAGCGCAAATATCAGCAGTCCGATCAACAATCTCAATTGAGTTTCAACCGCGCGGATGATGAGAGGGGCGTTTCTTTCTCCGACTCCGATTCGAATCACGTCTCAAGCGAACGAAGTAGTCTTGTAAGTTGTGACGAGAACTTGATGCAGAAGTTGAAAAGCTATAGACGTAGTATAGAAATTAACGCGGACAACGATGTACGCAATGATGTTAGGCCAATTGCCGCGAATCCGATCTTCCCGGATCCAGCGGCAGCATTGAATATCGAAAACGGAGCGTACCTTCATAGACCGTGGTTGAATTCACCACTACATAGTCAAATGATACCACCATTGTACTATAATCAACCTTTTCTAGACGATACATGGTATACGAACCATGTACAAAACTGTATGACACTTCGTGATTCCCATCAGTTTCAGTTCAGTAATTGTTACTGTGATCATATATTGAATGTGTTTGGAGAACGCACTATCAGCACTCTTAAATCATTCTGTCCTTGTTATTCGGTTAATAAACAATAAAGATAAAATGACATAACATGCCTGATATAGCATGTTCTTCGAATACAGTCATGTATTCGGCTGTGTTACATGTTACATGCGGACGAGAGCTGTTTTTGTTTTTTTGTTGCAATAGATGTTTTATGATATGAAGAATAATATTATACGTGCGAATAATATTAATTAAGACTGAAGATTTAAGATGACAGAAAATAATATCGAAATAATACACACACACACACATATATACATACATATGTATTTAGGGTGTCCCAGACCATTCACATCAACCATTTAAAAACGAAGTTTTTATTTCAAAAATCCCAAAAATTTTGATAAGTAAATCGAGTATAACGCTCTAATGATAATACTTTTGTTTTCCTTTGATTCTCCGAATAAAAATGAACAAATTTCGGACTGGAAGTCAATTTTTTTAAAATGGAATATGATTCCATTTAAAACAAATTCTTTTATTTATGAATATGTAACAAAAACAATACCATGTTCCATTTAAAATAATCAAATTGTCTATTTTCAATTCTACGTCCACGTTTTCTTTCAACTAATGCATTAGCACGGCAGTGCACATTCCAGTTGTATTATAGTTCAATGATAATACCCGATTTATTTATAAATTTTGGGATTTTTAATAAGACTTGTTTTTCTGGAACATCTTAATACGCACATATACAGGGTGAATCAGAGTAATTGAACCACTTTTTTACTCTACGAGAAAATTATTGACTTTACATCTAATTATTGACTTAGCAATACACATCAGATGCGTGAATACATCGTGCGAATTGAGAAAAAGGCACATTTTTAATAGCTTCATATAATAAAAATAAAATCTTGTAATTTTCACTTAACGTCAAACGTGCCTGTTTTTCCGCTCAGACCAGCAGTTTGCACGATGTTCATCAGGAGCGACGAAATACAATTTTTCAGTGTATGGAGTTCCCGAGGATAAGTTAAGGGAGAGGAGAGGAGAGAAGGAATAAATATATTTCCTCCTCTCCTCACGGCTATATGTATATATACCTTTTCTACATGGCAAAAGTAGCTGTTCTAATTTCGTATTTTTTTAAATGAAATCGATAATGAGCTTCTCCACATTTAAATTATCAATTTTTCGATGTGAGTGTACAACATCGCAATATGATTTAAACGTTTTTGTCTCATTGTCGATCGAAGATAACTTTTTAAATGTCTTAAATAAGAAAATAATTTTTTATTCGAACAAGTTGATGTAGGAATTAGAATTTAACTCATTATCACTAGTGTCATTACTAATAATATGCGAGGTATAAATTTCAACATCAAAAATTTTGATGTCCAAGGGCTTACTTTTGACTTGTTAGGTTTTTTCATAGGTTTTCTAATTGTGATCTTATCTTTTTTGCGCTGTCCTTCGGAAACACTTTTTTCTGTTGCATGCTTATACCTATTTGAGATTTTTATAGAAAGTACAGATCTTGATCTACGATTATAACTGATATGACTATTGATTGAATGAGGACGGTTTTTTAATTTTTGCCGTAACTTCTTTTAGTAATCTTATAAATTCTGAAAATGAAATAACTCAGATAGGTTGAGAAGATATGGCAGTTCAGAGCAAAAGTCTGCTACAAGCATCTTGACCAAATATCACAGAAATATGAAATTCAATGTATGATATTCCATACATTGAATCATTCAGTGTATGAAGATATATCAATCTAAGAAACTGGTTTAACTCTGATTCATACTGAATATATATCATTATATTTTCATATAGTTATATTTATTATTTGCATAATTACTTGCACGTCTTATTCTTCATTCATATAATGTGTACATATGTATATATAATATATATATTATACATATATGTATAAATGTTTATGGATCTTTAAAATGGCTTAAAATTATAGAAAATTTGAAATAGCAATGACGATCATTTTTATATCGTATATTTCTCATAAAATTTATTTTATATAT